CCCTCGCTGCCGCCGCCGCCGCTAGCCGGAGCCTTCTCCCCTACCCTTCTCCCCCCTCCCCTCCCTTCCCCGTACCCCCGCGTCGCCTTCCCGAGCGAGGCGACCGGCGGCCTCTTCCCCGCTCCTCTCCAGCGCTCCTCCCCCGCCCTGCCTCCTCCCGCCGCCACTAGCGAGCGCCGCCAGGCCTCGGTCGCGTGGTGCTGGCGGCGGCGGACCTGCCCTTCCCCTCGTGCGGCTCCCTCCTGCTCGGATGGTGGTGGATGGTGGCGGTGCTCCTCGGCCGGCATCGGTGCGGCCCGTCGGTGGTGGTGCCGCGGGCCCGGTGGCTCTTGACGCGGTGGTGCGGCTGTTGGCCGTGGGGCGGCGCCCGCCCAGCCCAGATCTATGCCCATTTGGGCCCATCTAGGTTGGGGTGGGCCGGTGGCTTGGTGCTCGGCGGCGACGTTCCTTGGTGGTGGCGTGGTGGCGGCGGTCTCAGGCGGTGAGGACTTAGTTGGCCGGCGTGCTGCAACGTGCTGACAGGACTGTCCAGGTCCATGTGGGCCCGGCCGGGCCATCGAGGCCCGACAAGTCCTCGTCGCCATGTCCGGTCGGCTCCGTTGCGGCGGTGGAGGTTGTCCCCTCCTTCCGGTCGAGTTGTGGTCGCTCCCGTGGCTGGTGTCCTTTCTTCCTCTCCAAGTCTCGTGTTGACAGCTCCAGTGAAGCGGCGAGGGTTGTACGGTAATCGTGGTGGCACAAGCTGGTGGGTGGCTGAGGAGGTGGTGCATTTCGAAATGCATAAGGTGGTGGTGGTGGTTGTGGGTCGGGAAAAATCCCTATCGGCTTGGCCGACACCGATGCGATGACGCGTGCGGGCATCGTCGGGCCTTCCTGAGGGGCATCGGGTATACCCCTTCCCCACTATCCCTCGCGTACCGGGGAACCCCCTAGAACTTGTTCGGGCAACAACAGCGGCATCGTCGCATTCCTTCTTGGAGGTGTTGCTTGCGGCGCGGCGCTTCGGGATGCTGGGAGCGTGGTGGTACTTCTTCGGAGGGTGCAGCGGTTGTCGGCCTTCCTTTCTTCGTTGATCTGCTGGTGTCAGCATTTATTTCCCTTTCTTCTTCTTGTTTTTCTTATGGGCTTATCTGTGCTGCGGCCCCATCGAGCTGGATGTATCGGGTGTTTGCTTTATAATATAAAGCAGGGGGAACCCTTTATCATAAACCCCTCTTCCTAATGCCTCTATAATCTCCTTCAATAAATTTCAAAATTCGAATTCACATCGTCATGCTAAGTCTAGCAATGCCACCCCTACC